TTTCAGTGAAATTAGTGAAATTCTATTCAAACACATGCAGTTTTGATTGCCCCTTCAGACAAAGCATCTAAAATCGAAACAAGAATTACTTCTCTCAATAATATTAAAAACTTGTAACAAACTTTGTTTCTAATGGAAAATTATTTTTAAAGTTACATTTAAAATAAATTATTTAATAATATGAAATTGGTGAACACTATAAATAATTCTCTGTACAGTTGTTTTACAAGTGGAGTCAGATGTCTGTCGGATTTGCTATTTATATTTAAATAGAAGGGGCTCAAGTGCTGGTATATTTTCACAAGAGCAGAGGTATCGTGTTATCGTGTACACAGGGCTGTAAAATTTTCAGCTGGGCTCAGAAAAAATATCATCTGATGTGGAAGTAGAAGCTTCAGGTATTTTTCATTTTTTGCGAAGACTAAAGTTGAAAGTAGATGAATTGAGGAGAGGATTTTTGAGGAGTGGAGTATAAACAGTTCCCTGCCCGGAAGAGGAGTTGTTCTAATTTAGGAAGAGGGAATTATTTGCCGACAGAAAGGGCTAGGGTGTGGTCTGCTGAGATTATTGAGATAACTAAATAATTTTAGGTATCTTTAGGGAAGGTCTGCCTACTGCGCTGTGCTTTCTGGCGTCAGACAGAATCACAGAATCACAGAATCGCAAGGGTTGGAAGGGACCTCGGGAGATCATCTAGTCCAACCCCCCTGCTAAAGCAGGCTCTCCTAGAGCATTCTACACAGGACTTCATCCAGGCGGGCTTTGAATATCTCCAGAGAAGGAGACTCCACAACCTCCCTGGGCAGCTTGTTCCAGTGCTCTGTCACCCTTAGAGTAAAGAAGTTTTTCCTCATATTCAACTGAAACCTCTTATGTTTCAGTTTGCACCCATTGCCCCTAGTCTTGTCGCTGAACACCACTGCAAACAGACTGCTTCCATCCTCGTGACTTCCGCCCTTAAGATATTTGTATGTGTTGATATGGTCCCCTCTCAGTCTTCTCTTCTTCAGGCTGAACAAGCCCAACTTTCTCAGCCTTTCCTCGTAGGGGAGGTGCTCCAGTCCCTTTATCATCCTAGTTGCCCTCCTCTGGACTCTTTCTAGGAGTTCCTCATCTTTCTTGGACTGGGGAGCCCAGAACTGGACACAGTACTCCAGGTGGGGTCTCACCAGGGCAGAGTAGTGGGGGAGGATAACCTCCCTCGACCTGCTGGCCACACTTCTCTTAATACACCCCAGGATACCATTGGCCTTCTTGGCACCAAGGGCACATTGCTGGCTCACGGG